CATTTTCTTGACCCAGCCACCACAATTGACAGTTGTGGATTTCGAATCTTCCAGGATTCGCAGCCAATATTCACTTCAGAACCAATATTCAACAGTTGTTGGGTCTTATAAATGCTTAATAATTGACAATTCGGGAGTTGCCAGTGTGTTTTCTATTAATGTCATACACTGTGTTCAATGATTCGACAAGTCTCTCTTCCCAAGTTAAATGATTTTTTTGGATAAATTATAAAAATGATCCCTATAATTTATTTGTATTTTTATTTTACCCTTACAGTTTAGTTTTTGACTTAAAATGATCCAATAGTTAACGGTGGTTAGACATTTGGACAGAAAATCGAAGCGTGTAAGGCATGTGCGGGCTAATTTTGATTTTCTTGAATAATTTTCACTTTCTTGAATGTTTTTGAATCAATTTAGCCTCCGTTTGGGAAGTGGGTTGGCTTTTTGACTTTTTTGGCTATTTTAGCCTGGGTTAAAAAGTTTGGTTTGGGAATGATTTTTTGGCTTTTTGACTTTTTTGGCTTTTTTTGTGAGAGAAGAATGTAATGATTATGGGTTGGATGTGATATTTTGTTTTTTGTGGCTAAAATAGCCTATTTTGTCTTTTGTGACTAAAATAGCCAAAAAACCCCCGTTTAGCTCTTGCCAAACGGAGCCTTACCTTACATAATAGGATAAATTATATCTGTGATTTTTATGTTTTATTTCTTATGTCATTTTAATTATTATATTTTTAATTGTATTAATTTTGACTTTTAATTTTAATTTTTTTTAATTTGATCAAATTAATAATATCATAGTGTTTTTTAAGAAAAATTATCGCTAAATTGGTTCGGCTTAACTATCTAAGTTGAATAAATTTATAATTTTACTCTTAAAAACATGGCGCATGACACTTATGTGCGTGTTTTAATAAAAAAATGCTAAGAATTCTAATCAATTGAAACAAATTGAGACAAAATCATAAATTCATAGTCAAAATCAAACTAATTGAAAATACATGAATTAAAATGACACAAGAGATAAAATGCATAGACTATCATCCTAATTTGCCCTACATATAATACTAGGATTTATGAAAGCCTATGTATACATATATAATGGTTCAAATGAAATACTATTTTCATACACATATAGCTATATAGTTATAACAATTCAGTGTGTTCAGTTTTAATTTTTTGAATTCAATTTTTAAAAAACTTGAGTTTTTTATTTTTAGTAAATATTTTTAAAATTTTAAGCAATTTTTTTTAAGCTTTTTTAGATTCATCTTACTTAAATGTATCTAAAAAGTGAAATATTTATAAAAAAATATTTTAAAAAATCAATAAATATACAAGAATATAAAAAAATGTATTAAATTATCGTATTTTTTGTATTTAGTAAATTTTTTAAAGATTTTTTTTCACAAAAATTATAATTTTTTAAATGTATTTATGTTAGGTGTATATAAAAATTTAAAAATATTAAAAATATTTTAAAAATTTCAATAAAAATAAAAAATATGAAAAATAAAAAATTTTAATTTTTGGAAAGTAAATTTTAAAAATTTAAACCAAACAAACTGAATAATGACTTGAATATGATATGAGGGCCACATGCACATACATCTCAGCTGAACCAAGAAATTAGGGTTGAGCAAGAAATTCGTAAAATCCGTAATCCGATCCGATCCAGTCTAATCCAGTAAGTTTGGATTGGTTTTTTGAATCCGTGGTTCGGTTCCGGATTGAAAAATTAAAAATCTATAGTTTAAGGATTGGTTTCGGATTGAACCTCACGGTTCTGGATTGGAACCGATCCGAACCGTATACAAATAGTCTATATTTTTATTATATACCCTCTTGCATAGTATCTTCTCTTATTTTATATAAAACTTTTGAAAAATTAAATAAATCAAAATATATGTTATTTTTTTAATTAAAATTTTAAATAAATTTATTTTAAAAATTAATAATAATTAAATAATAAAATTAAATAAAACATCTATTAAACAAATTGAATTAATCAAAAAACACTCAAAAAAGTCAAAATTGACCTGCACGTGCCTTGCACACGTTGATTTTTTGTCCAAATGTCTAACCACCGTTAACTATTGGACCATTTCGAGTTGAAAACCAAACTACAGGAATAAAATTGAAACAATTAAAAGTGCAGGGATCAAAATAAAAATACGGGTAAATTATAAGGACCATTTCTGTAACTTGCCCCTTTTTTTTTCTTTTCTAAAGGCTTCAATGTAGAGGTTCTATAGTATCAATGGGGTCAAGTACGCAATTATTATTGTTTTCTTTTGTTGATTGACTTGAGATTTTGGGGTTTAGATTTTATTTATTTATTTATTTTTGAAATCGCACAGTGTTGTGTATAAACCGTAAGATATGCTGTGTTCATATAAACTCTTGTTTGAAAAATGTTTGGATTTTAATGATCCGTGTCATATGAATATGCCTTTTACCTAGAACAATGAAAGTGCATCAGTCATATTAATGCACCCAACGATTTTAATGATCTCATTTTCCAAATTGGATACCAGTCTCCTAGCATTTCAGTGTATTTTCAGGGGGAAAAAATTATGAAAGGATAAAATGATATTAAGGAGAACATCACCATAAAGGCACGATTTGCAATCACCTGTAAAAGCCATTAGCTTCAAGCTTGCTTAGGAGATTTGTATAGGCTTAATCTCGGTATGTTCGGTTGGAAATGGTTAATTTTTCCTAAGTTAGGTCTATTTTTTAGGTAGGCCCCGAGTGTCGATTTACTCGGGTCAAAGTGGTAACGCGTTCTATGCCGCGTTGTGATTCACGTGGTATATTTGGTTGCTCAAAACCATTACCGAGTGAATGGGAAATTGAAGCCAAAGTGTGCTCCATGGAAATGGAGTTTTGGTGGAAATTCCTTAAGGTTGTAAATTGGTTTGTCCCACATTGATTTGGTGGGAAGTTTTGAAAGGGTTTATAAGGCTTAGGGTGAGATACTTGGGGTGTGCCCCAAGGGGTACCCAAGTGTTTTAGAGGGAGAGGTTATGGGCAAAATGGGCTAGACCCATTGGACCCAAAAATCACCACACGCGCCGTCCGATCGGTTGGGTTGGGCTTATTTTTTATTAGAATAAAATCCAGAATTCAAATTAAATTAGTTTGGATTTTTGTTCATCCAAACAGGGCCCTTCCCGGTTTCAAACTGAATAAACTGTTTTGGAATTAATGCACACCCAAACAGGGCCCTTCCCGTAATTGCTATCAGTTTGAATTCAAAACCCAACAGGTATCATACCTGTTCAATTCAAAACCAAAAGCCACATACCTGTTCAATTCAAATCCAAAAGCCACCTTCACATCTATAAATAGGACCACCCTCATTTGATGTTTTCCATTCAGAAATTTCGTATTTCACCTCTGTTAATTCTATTCTTCATTTTGCTGCATTTTATTTTTGTGAGAAAGAGTATAAACACTTAGTGTGTTCGTAATCTGCTATTTATATTCTTCATCTTGCTGCATTTTATTTCCGAAAGAAAGAGCGTAAATACTTAGTGTGTTCGTAAGGCAAACAATTAGTAGTGCTGCTATTGTTTGTGGTAGATCATTTCATCCTGGGAGATAGACGTCCGAATTCTGAAAGCACCGTGGAGATGACGAATCTGTCTTAAGGACACAGTGTTAAACACTGGACTTGATCAGAAAAATAATTCGAAGAAATTAAATCAAGTAAGTTATTTAATTACTTTCAGTGTTGTTTTTATTTATTTATTTATTCAGATTTTAATTTTGTTTTTGTAACAAAATAAAATCTGTTATTTATTTATTTATTTTTATTTCGAGTTTGATTTTTGTAATCAAACATATTCTCTCCTTTTCTCTATTTCTTTTATTCTTGTTGTTATTTTGTACACAACAGAATTAAATCTTTTTAAATACAGTGAAGATTGTCCAACATGTTCTATGTTATTATAACCTCTATATATAAACCCTCAATTGAGATGAAAACAAAGATCAATTCCTGAAATTCTTGCACTCTCTTATATTAGGAAAAAATTCTAACGAGAGACAAATGTAAGACGTAACGAACATGGTTTTATCTTTATGGATAATTTTTAGAAGGACAATTTTTCTTGGCCTCTGATTTGGTTCTCATAAAATTCTTTTTACAAAGTTCAATATGTGTTGGTGCTGTTTGGTAATACTTACGTTTTCATTTTTTTGTTTATATTTACAAAAATTAAAAAAAACTCAAATAAAAACTTGTTTGGTAAAATTTTTAATTTATAAATCAGTGGTCTCAGTTTATAAATTTGACCAAAAAATAAAAACACAAAAAATGTGTTTCTTTCCACCACCGTCTTCCGCCGCCACTTGCTATTTCTCACTCTTTTTTATATTTTAATTTTTTTAAAAACATTTTATCAATTACCAAACGCGTTTGTAGTTTATGTTTTTCTAAAAATAAACAAAAACCAATTTATAAATTTTTTATAAATATAAACTGAAAACGTAAACGTTACCAAACACACTCTTAGTATTTTTATTTTATTTTAGGTTTCTTTTTTAGTTTTATTTTTGTCTTTTAACGGCATTTTTTCAAAATTTGTCAACTCTTTTCAGAAGGTCTAGGGACTCAGGTTTTGGCAAAGAATGGATTGTTTGGTAGAGATTAAAATTGTCTATTATGGGGTATGTGTGTATAATGAATTTGAATTGCATGTTGATGTTTTTTGGTAAATTTTGAATATATTTTTCTGGGTTGTAGTTTTTTTTTTTCAAAGTCTAGGAGGACTTGAGAAGAAAAAGTTTCTTGGCTGAGGGCAAAAAAGACAAGGCAATCTTGACAACAAGCTAACAAATTTAGCTTTTGACAAGAAATGTATTAGGAGAAGAGAGAAAGAGATCGAATGGCCATTTCCTAGAGCAAAAATTGTAATATGATGACTTCGGTTGACTTGCTAAAAAAATTGATAGAGTTAGAGAAACTAACTGCACATGAACATAATGACATAAAATAAAACTATAAAACACATGCTACTTCACTTTTTATTTTTTTATTTATTTTTATCTTACAATCGAATGAGTGAGCACTTCTATCATTTACAAAGCAAATAGCAACATTTAAAAATAAAATTGCTAAGTTTGTGCCCAATACGATCTAGAAACATGAAATAAGCATCTCTCCAAGACATCTTGAAGAGTAAAAGGCCCACCACAACCCAAAAACCAACTACAAATCCTAGTGCCAAGCTCGAAAAGAACCACACTTCTGAAAGTCCCTCATCTTCTTCACCTCCATGTCCAACTTTAGCTATTGCCGTGTTTGTGCTGCAGTTTGTAAGTGGAGGTCCACAAAGTTTGTTCCCAATAAAGCTGGATTCATCTAAGCTTTGAAGCTGAGTACTTGATGGAATTTTTCCTGTCAAATTGTTATAAGACAAATTCAAGTAACTCAAGAATGACAAACTTGACATGCTAAATGGAATCTCACCGCTAAGTTGGTTGAGAGAGCAATCAAGAGATTCAAGTTGTCCCATATCACCAATATTCTTGGGAATCCTTCCTGTTAAATGATTTCTAGACAAATTCAGTGACCACAATCCCACAAGTCTAGTTAGTTCCTCGGGAATTTCTCCAAATAAATTGTTTTCTGAAAGATCCATGCTTGTCACCAATTTAAGATTGGTGGTATATAGAACCTCTCTTCCTTTGGTCACCAAAGTTGCACTTTCGAAATATTCTCCCCTATATGTGTAATAGGATAAGTGGTTACTTGAGTTTTGTTTTCTTGCCATGGCACTAAAATTGTTGAAACATCTTGGCACAAGTCCTGAGAGATTATTATGTGCAAGGTCCAAGATTTGGAGAGCACCTAGACGACATAATTCATATGGAATGTCACCTTGAAACTTATTTGCACGAAGGTTGAGAACTATCAAATTCGAAAATGTATTCCCAATCCAAATTGGTATGCTTCCAGTAAATTCATTTTCACCAAGATCAAGGGTCAACAAGTTTGTACAGTGTTGTAGAGATTGTGGTAGTTCTCCTGAGAGGTTGTTATGCCGCAGGTGCATTTCCGCAAGGAAATTTAAATTTCCAATGGAGGGCGGAATGTTACCCATCAGATTGTTGTTTTCCAATCTTATGGTTTGCAAAAATGGCCAATGCCCCCAACAATCAGGAATTCCTCCTGATAGATAATTGTCTCCAAGAACAAGAGCAAACAGTAAATTGACTGGTTTCTCTCTGTACCACAGAAGACGTGGTGAATAGATCCTGAAAAATAATTATTTGAAAGATCTAGTGCCATCAAATTAGAGGAGATGAGTGGTAATTGACCCTCCAAATAGTTGGAACTCATGTCAATCGTTCCAAAGAAAAGAATCTCTATTAACCTCTAGCTATAAGCTGTTACAGAGCTTTAGTGCTGCTGGTGCAGCTGTTGCAGAGTCAGCTTGAGCCTCATCCTGAGCATTATGCTTAACAGTTCCCCGCAAACTGAGAGAAGTGGGAAACACCTGAAGTTTGCCTTGAAGGTATTGAAATCTGGAAACTGAGAGAGGCTTTGTGAGAATATCTGCAATTTGGTCAGTTGACGCAATATGACAAATAGCAAGTTTCTTGGCAACAACTTTCTCACGAACAAAATGATAATCGACTTCAATATGCTTAGTTCTAGCATGGAAGACTGGATTGTGAGCCAAGGCAATTGCAGACAAGTTATCACACCATAAGGTAGGAACAGCCACAGAGACATGAAGTTCAGCAAGAAGCATGCCAAGCCAACTCAACTCAGCAGATACCTGAGCTAAAGCACGATATTCTGCCTCAGATGAAGATCGGGAAACTGTCGGTTGCTTTTTAGCACACCAAGAGATGAGATTGGGACCAAGAAACACACAGTAACCTGTGGTGGACCGTCTATCAAGAGCACTGCCAGTCCAACCAGAGTCTGAAAATGCATTGAGAACAAGAGGGCCAGAGGTGAAATGCAAGCCATGACTTAAGGTACCCTTGAGATATCTGAGGAGCCTTTTAACAGCAGAAAAATGGCTATTCAAAGGGTTTTGTAAAAATTGACACAGATAATTAACTGTAAAGCTGAGATCAGGTCTGGTAAGAGTAAGATATTGGAGAGCACCCACGAGGCTTCTATAAAGACTAGGGTGAGAAAAAGAGGAGTCCATCTCAGGAAGAACAACCTTAGTAGCCATGGGAGAAGAATATGGTTTACAATCAGTCATTCCTGCCTTTGCAAGAATTTCAGAAGCATATTTTGGCTGAGACAAAATGTAACCTGAAGGAGAAGAAGTAACAGAGATACCAAGAAAATAGTTGAGTAAACCCAACTCTTTCATGGAAAAAACTGAGTGCATATGTTGAACAAGAGTAGAGATATAGAGGCCTGCCTTTGCAAGAATTTCATAAGCATATTTTGGCTGAGACAAAATGTAACTTGAAGGAGAAGAAGTAACAGAGATACCAAGAAAATAGTTGAGTAAACCCAACTCTTTCATGGAAAAAACTGAGTGCATATGTTGAACAAGAGTAGAGATATAGAGAGGATCACTCCCAGTAAGAAGGATATCATCTACATAAACAAGTAGAACAGTAATGGAAGTAGAGGTGTGTTTGACAAACAAAGAGGAGTCACAATGACTAGGAACAAAATCATGAGAAAGAAGAAAAGAAGAGAAAGTGGAGAACCAAGCTCGAGGAGCTTGTTTTAAGCCATAGAGGGCCTTGTGCAATTTACAAACAAGGGATGGATGTTTAGCATCAATAAAACCTTGAGGTTGATGCATATAAACTTCCTCTTCAAGAATGCCATGAAGAAAGGCATTTGAAATGTCAAGTTGCTTAATAGGCCAATGAAAATGAAGGGCTAGACATAAGAGAACCCTGATTGTAGGTTGTTTAGCTACAGGACTAAATGTTTCATGATAGTCTACACCCTCAGTTTGAAGAAAGCCTTTAGCAACAAGTCTAGCTTTGTGTCTTGCAATAGAACCATCTGAGTTTTTCTTGAGCCTAAATACCCACTTGCAGCCAATAGCTTGTTTATCAGGAGGAAGAGTAACTAAAGACCAAGTACCTTGGTTTTGAAGAGCTTGATATTCATCTAACATAGCAGCTTGCCAAGCTGGAGACTGAGCAGCTGCTTGATAATTCTGTGGCTCAGTAGAATCTGCAGAATCTGTAGAAGCAAGAAGACAAAGGGAAGAAGAGGAAGCAACAGGATTCTTACTCTTGGACCTAGTGATCATAGGATGAGGAGGAGGATGAGAAGAAGAGATTGGAGGAAGATCAATGTAGAGAGATGAAATAGGCAATTGAGAAGAAGGAGGAGCAGACAGAAGTGAGGAAGGGGCTACAGATGAAGGAGAAGCTGAAGGAGAAGCTGATGGAGACAAAGAAGGAACAGCCGCAGAAGTAGGAAGAGTTGCTGCAGACAGAGTAGGTGTGGCTGTTGCAGATATAGAAGAAGCCTCTGCAGCCAGCGGAGATATGACTGTAGATTTAGGAGGAAGTGATGTCCAGAAAAAATTAATTAAAGAAGGAAGAGTAGGAACAGAGGAGGAGATAGATGAAGGAAAGCTAGAGGAAGATTGTTTAAAAGGAAAAAGAGATTCATCAAACACAACATGTCTAGACACATAGATCTTCTGAGTAAGAGGGTCAAGACATCTATAGCCCTTAGTAGATGGTTGATAGCCAAGAAAGATGCAGGGAATAGATTTTGGTTATTTTTTTGGTTTGTTTGTTACAAGTGGGTTTGTTTGTATCTCATGTTACGAGTGGGTTTTGGTATTTATAGAGTAATGCTTGGTCCATGCCGTGCCTGGTCTTGCGCAAGAATCCAAATTTCGTTGACTTGAATAGTACATTCTTACTTCTTAAATAGAGGATGTTAAGGTTCGACGGAGAGTGTGCTTTTTTGGAACCTGAGCAGAAGAGGCCTTAATGAACAATACTACAGTTCAGATTTTTATATTATTTTATTTTATTTTTTAATTTCAAGAGACATTAACTTGTGGTCTAGATTTATTTCAGCCGTACATCTCACAATGTGTTAGTTAATCTCAATCACACATTTTTTTTAACGTTTTAAAAAAAAAAAAAACTCACAATTTTTTTTAGACAAATTTTGTGTCTATGTGTCGTATGAGTTAACAGTCTTATCTAACACGAGTTAGGTTAGAAATTCCAAATGATTTATTAATTTTTTTATTAAGGTTAAGTTTGGTTAACCTAAAAAAGTACACTTATTTTATCTTTTTATCTTTTTTAGTCACATCAATCGACACCTCTTCTCTACTTTTTCTACACATAATACAAAAAAAGTCAAAAAGTACACTTATTTAGTCTTTCCAAACTTGGCCTTATCTTACATAGGTGTGGGACTCCACACACATGTAGGTTTGTATAGATTCTATATCAATATAAAAAATTTAATAAATCTTTTTTTAAATCATTTAGGACCTATAGTACTTTTCATCTAAGACAAATGGGGAGTAGTTGGCCAAGGACCTACTAGTCTCATAAATTTTGTGTTATGGAGTGTTCTAGAAAGATAATTAAAAATTATTTTTTAACTTTTTTGTGAGAGTGGGAAGTGAATTAAAAATTAGAAAATGTCTTTTAACCTATTTTCTAAAATAGGCCAATGTGAGTTAATAGCCTTATCTAACACAAATGGAGCACTTGGCCAAGGACCCACTATAGTCTCATCTCATCCTAGCCTTAATGAAATGGAATATAAGGCCTGTTTGGGAAGAGCTATATAGATTAAAATTATTAATAAAAATAAAATAAGTTAAAATAATTATTAATACAAAATATTAAATCTAATTCATAATCATTTCATTTTTTTCTATAATTATTAAATCAGTTATAAAAAAAAATTTAATCATCTCTTTAAATATAATTTTTTTAATTAAACTAAAATAATTCAAAATTCAAAAAATTAATTAAAATAATCAACCTTCAAAACGGTGCGGTAGTGATGTAAAAGGTGTCTAACACAAATGGATTAATTAATCTGGACCCACTAGCCTCATCTGTCTCAGTTTGTTTTTAAGGAACTGTTTGCGGTTTGACTTTTTTTTTTAGTTTTTTTTTTTAGTTTTTTTTTTTCAGTTTTTTATGAGTTGAAAAATATTAATTTGAATGACTTATCTTTTTAGTGATTTTTTAAAAAAAATTTAAGAATATTTAAACTTTGATTTTTGATTTTTTTTTTAAGGTTTGGATTCTTTTCAGTTGGTCATCTCAATTTAAAAAAAAAAAAACATTTAGATTTGGTAGACCCATTTTCTAGCCGACCTCGATGATTTAAACCGTTCACTTTTTAAGACTTGTTAAGTATAATATTCATACAAAAAATTAAGATGATCGAATAGCAAAAACTATATATCTTTAAATCACATTTATTTTTAAAAAAATAGACGACATTATAATTTCAAGAGTAAATCAATTTTTTGTAATACAAATGTAATTCAAATATATCGTTACCGATATCTGATCATTTTAATTTTTTGTATGAATATTTTACTAATTAAGTTTTAAAAAGTAAATGATTCGAATCACAGAAGTCGACACCAAAATAGGTTCACCAAGTATAAATGCTCTCCCAAATTAAAATGACCAATTTAAAATATTCCAAACATTTAAAAATCTGTTTTATTAATTATTTTTAAATTTTCATTTTTTAAAAAACTTTTAAGTTCTACCAAAATTGAAGAGGCTAATTTTTTGAAACTAATATAAAAAATTTGAAAAACTTTCACTATCGAAAAAAAAAGAGTTTCGATTAGTATAATTTTTTTTTCTTGAATTTTGAGCTTGTCAAAAAATAGATTCTTTGATGCAAAAAGAAATTTGTGGCATAAATGGAAAATTCATCAGAGCATATTTTTCTTCCTGTGTTAGTTGTCAGCTTTGCTTGTTTGGAGTTTGTGTATTTTAATATTAAAATAAATTTATTAAATTATTACTTTTGTATTTGAGATTATTTTTATATTTGTATTGGCTCTACATGTACTAATTAATCTATCAATGAGTGTATTAATACTAGTTATGATATTATTGATCACACTCGTTATATAAATTATAAATACCAAAAATATCTTAAATGGTGTCACATCATCAATTAATATACTAGTTAGTTCACTAATTGGTACATATATGATTACTCATTAAGTTATGATCACAATTTGGGAGACCATTTAAACTTAGCCTTCATTTGGCATAAGCTAAAATGAGGATTTTTTGGTTAAAATAATCACAAAAAAAACAAAATAGACTTTTTAGTATAATAAGATAAAATATCACATCCAAACCATAATAAGACATAATATCAAACAAGACTTTATAGCCTCAGGTTAAAATA